TTTTAGAGAACAATTAATAAGATCTATTCTAGAAATCTTACTGTTTCAGAATCATTTATTTCATTATATTTTCCTTATCTTCTGTCAATATATGACATTGTTTTAATGCTACTACAATGATATACATTTTTTAACTGTTAATTAAAGTTTTTCAAAATAATTGACTATTAGAAACGATAAATTTTGTTCTTTATTATTTTTAATAATATATTCGTCGCAGAAATAAAAGGGACGTTGAAATACGGAGAAATCCTCTGGGTGTGTATGCAAATGGAATACTTCCTGATATGACGCATACCTACATATATCTCGAAATTCCATCTGCCAATTTATTAACCGGATATTCGTAAAATATGAACTTTAGACTTTACCATAACAGACATTTTGATCAAAGTCTAGACTATATGGACTTTGAAATTATCCTAGAAAGTAGACATTCCGGCTAAAAAAAGCGTTTCTTGCAAAAAAAAATTAATACAAATTACCTGCGTGATCACAAATGCAATTTTTATAACTTCGGCGAAGAATGCGACAAATGAATTTCGTATCATTTTATCTTCAGTGCACACATTTCTAAAAACTTTTTCTGACACATTGAAAGGCCACGTGTTAGAAATATCCATTTATGAAAAAAATTATTATTTTATCAAATTTATTAGGATAAATTTTTTTATAGATTTACTTGAAAATGTTAAGTTGTTCTTTATTAAAAATAATAATCGATTAATTAAGAAAATTAATTTTTATGCATTTTATTACATTTGTTTGTATAAGTATTTCTGTTATTAAATCTTACAATTACATTCTTCTTAAAAATATATAAAGAAAAAATAACGATTTAATTATATTTTCTTATTAATACAATAAAATGTCAATTATTTTAATATCAATTTTACAAATATTAATAAATAAAAATCTCTAATCTACATTAAAATTATATTGTTATCGTATTTATAATATCTTTATAAATATTTTATGTTTCTTTTTCTCCCGAAAGTTTTACGTGAATCATTAATAACAGATTACTATCTCTCAATTTGTTCAGATAATTGGCATCTTACCGCTATGATAAATCACGTAAATTAAAATCGATCATTGCCGAGTCTTAAGCTATCTAGGTTCGATTCCATCTTGTCTGCCAGTCATTCGGAAGAAGCGCGAGTTAACATTTGTAAAAATGTAGGGCGCGTTCTCCGTAGGGCAAAGTACTTTTTCCAATATTCGGGGCAATCCCTTTTCCGTCTTATTTCCGACCGGTTCCAGCATATTGTTCCATAAAAGATTGGCGCCTAAAAGTGAAAAAGAAGCGCATTTATACCACGCGGAGGAAAACAAGATACTAAACATCTGCACGTCATTTATTCTGCTATTTTCGCATAAAAACAGTAGCTGCAATGACGTTCTCTCTCATCATGACTCTTGTTGACACCGTCTAACAATAAAATACGTTTAATGATATAACCATTCGCCCATTAATGGACGGTTTACAACATCCAGCTGCATCAAATTGACGATTATTTTATTGCCCGTAAAGATATTGTTCACTTTTAACCGTATAAACCGACAAATAATCATTAACAAACCAACCTTCGCTCGAGTATATACAGCAAGTGTAGATGTCTTTACGTAATGTGAATTAACTCCGAAATGTCGTTTCCATTACCGCGTTACAATACGATGAATGTATCCATGAATATGGATACATGAATAAACGCGTGTCATCGCGCCATTACATTCACATATTACAGCGCATATTACATTTGTACTTAACGAGTCAGAGTCTTCAAGTTGAATGTGCATTTTATACACTGTATGTATATAACTCATCTCATTAATTATTCAACTAATCATTCAAGAATATGAATTAATCATTTATGGTTTAGGACTGATTTAACTAATTTTTTCTAATTGAAATGTATTCATTTTTTATAAATCGTGTGAAGTATAATAAAGTAATAATGGATAAATAATGGTAAATAATGGAATATATTGAAATAATGTATTAATATTATCGACGATAAACTTACTGGCTTTACTTCATTTACATAAAATTTAAAAATTATACACTTTGAATAATACATAAAATAAATTGAAAGATAAGGCTCAGAAGATATTAAATCTGTGTATACAAAAAACCGGACGGTACGAGCCAAGCTAGATGTAGACGACTGTTAATATAATTTAAATTATAATTACTAATATAAACAATAACAATTTACAAACATTTTGACCTTTAATATGGTCATTTTCAGTATATGACAAAAATTCGTTACCATAAAATTCGTTAATATAATTAAAATTGGTTTTGTTACAAAGAAGAGCGCCTTACGATTGTCCATAAATGAAATCGTTATCGCATAATTGAACTCGGAGTCTGGTGCAAATCAAGAACAACTGTTGATTGGTCATGGGTGTTGTTTATATTAGTTAACTTAAATTATACTAACAGCCACACATCTAGTTTGGCTCGTGCAGTCCGGTTTTTTGAATACTCAGAAGATATGTAAAATTTGAATAGTTATATTTCAATAAATTATGTAAGCTATAATTTATAAAATATTATAATAATTTATCCTAATAAAATGGATGAATTTTATTATGTAAAGATGAATATTTTTTATTTTATTTTAACTATTTAATATTTAATTTCGCCTATAAAACCAACATATTTCTCTATCATACACACACACGCGCGCGCGCGCGCACACACACACACAAAAGATTTCTCCTAGTACAAGGCAACCGTTTTCACATCACGACATTCTTTTTACTGTCAACAGGAGCCGATCAGTCGGTAATCAAAACAGATAATGTTTTTATAATTAATAACATCATTATATGTCTTATTTACGACATTGTTTAGTTTAAATTATTATTTTGTTCAAGATAAGAATAAGTATTAAATATCAAAGAAAGATAAAAGTTAATTATCCCTTACCGAGTGCATGTCCTTTCTGACTAAAATGAAAACAGTCGTATGTGACCAGATTGGAATCGATCGGCGGCGCACGATTAGGATTAGCATTAGGTGCATTGAATAATTTAATAAATGGCTGCAATACCACTGTAAAATCTGAAGAGTTATCATATCTGTAAAAAGCAAAAGAACAGTATTTTGTATCAATGAAAACATAAATATAAAAATACGACTTGAATAAACTGACATATCGAACATAATAGGAAAGTTTTTTTTGAAAATTAATCTTATTGATTAATGTCCATTCTAATTCTTAATCTCCATTCGAATTGTCCATCTATCAATGTAGATTAATTTTAACTTATTTTTTTATCTTTTTTTATTCCAAAAATTAGAAAAATATATAGGCAGTAAATTAAACTGAGATTAAAATTAATAGACATTGATCGAAATGAAAACATAAGTAGGACGAATATTCAATTGAATGTTGATTATACCTTCCTGAGTAAACTAAAGTTTCAGCGGCTTGCTGATAGAGTTGTGACATTTTTGACGCTGCCATTTCTGGTTGACTACCTTTGTGCATACAGGCACAGTAAAGGGGATGTAATATGTTGCATATGGTACTTTGCGTTACCCTAACCGAGACCGTGACATCTGTCATGAAAAATAATAAATAACAAATAAAAGTACATATGTAAACTTCTGTTATAAAATATCACTACAATTAATCCGTAATGTTGTAATACATTAATAAGGTTCTACGAGAAATTTATTAATTATTAAAAATAATATTAGTTTATTAGAGAATCTAGCAATATTGCAATAATAATATATAACGCGGTAATGATTCTTCTTTGTGTATACTTGCGCAAAATTATTATTTCAACATTACTTAATTAAATATTACTTATATTTTCTTAATTATAATTATATGAATAAATATTAATCAATTTATTACCTATGGCTGGAACAAGATTGACTAGTGTGCGGGGTAGCGCGACCCTTAAGAAATCAAGGGTCCTTCGTAAATGCAGGACGTGACGCAACGGCGAAAACTGTTGCGGATCGTAACACTGCGCCGAGCAAATGTCATTAGCTCCAAACAGAATTGTAATTAGCTGAAAAATTGAAAATACGAATTAATTGGAATCAAGAGAGAATTTTTATTTTATTTTTTAAAGAGATGTTTTTTTTTATTGATGTTACGTCATGAAAGATTTAAAAAGAAATTACGAGTAAGTTATCAATGATTACTTTCCAATGTTTCTTGACATTTATTCTCGGATTATTTTTTATTCTTTGCACTAAAATCCTCGCTTGTTGTAACGCGTCCTCCGTAGCGGCAACCGGAAAGGCGATGTTCAATTTCGCCGCTGTTGAGATAAATTCTCCCGTTCCGGTAGAATATCCGGTTAATTTCGGATTGAATACCTGTCGATAATGAAGGATATCAGGTTCTTGTAAAAGAGAACTGTCGTGTTAGAGGACAAAAAAATGAATGTTCACTTTTACAAAAATACTCGCTCTGTATAATGCGTATATGCGATAATACACATAATGAAAGACCCGACAGACAAAGGGGCCTTGAGACATTTATTACACTTTACGATATACCTTCAAAATATTGGGAAGTGTAAGAAATCGTCTCCAATTCCCCTGGCCTCCAACGCACCAACTGACTCCGCGCGCCTCGATGAGGGTTCCTACGGCGAACTCCTCCATTGCGCCATTTCCGGCGACCAAGGAATCACCGAGACCACCGACCACGTCGATGTCGCCTGGTCTCAGTCGATGGACATTGTCTGGTATCGACAAAGATCTGTAATGTGCAAAAGGAAAGTTTTTATCACCGAGATTTATTATTTATTTAATAAATATAAATAAATATCTATAGACCTCGTAGGTATCAATAAAAAGAAAGGGAGAAAGAGAGATAGGAATAGCTACTAATTTTTAAATGTTTTGCTTTAAAAGATATGAATATTGATTATAATCAGAATTATACCTGCCGAAACGTGTGTTGCAAGGAAACGGGACGTTGTCACGAATTATTGGTTGTTTTCGTACGCCTCCATATTCCACAGGATATGAAATTCCTGTTGCATCACTCTTATCCTAAAAATATGACGTTTTAATTTGCATATTAATTTATTTCACACATATGCGAAAATGTTTATATAAATTTTATTTAGATGCTAACATTTACGTATTGACCACAATAAATTGACCGCTGACGATACGGAACTGTTTCGGAACAAAATACAAAAATTAATGTACGATTTCGTTTAGTTAATCATATTTTTTTACAAATTTTGCCCGGCCAAATGGTCGTAAGTCATAAGTTGTAATTTCTCTTTGATGGAGTACGATGCGCCTTAATGCCATTCCGACCACAATATCTAATTACGCGAGATTCGTATCTTCATTAAAGTGATACTCATCATCATTTGCTTCGGTAACCTAAGTTTGCGCAACTTATAAATACTATTTACAGTTTGATTGTCGTAACTGTCACGATAGCTTCGATTCTTGACAACAATACATTATTTTTCTTATATGTTAAAATATTTTTCTTATCACTATCAAGATAACATTAAATTCATTAAACATTATCTTGAAGAAAACAAAGGAAGAAGATATTAAAAGATTTTGAAGTAAAGATTTTATTTTTATGTCACTATCGTTATTTTTGTAATGATTTTAAACGTTCTTAAACGATTGAAATTTTATTAAATCTTTATGAAAGTAAAATTGTTAAATCTAAATATCTAAAGCTGTAGAAATAAAAAAATATCGTAATTAATGAAAAATGGAAATGGAATGGAATGGAACAAGTGATTTTTTTTAGAGATAATTGTATTAAATTAAACAAGCTCGATTTTGCAAACGTTGTTTGCAAGTACATACATAATACATTATTTAAATCCTAAAAATATTCCGTCTACGAAGAATAAGTCTTTTTTTCTGCAAGACATTTTTTTCTGACAAGACATTTAAGCCGGTGTCGATTAACGCACTTAACATTCGACACGCGTCTACACTCTTGCTTTCTTCAATTTGCATTCCGCTGCGTCGTGTCACAACTTAAATACTAACGCATATATATATATTTCTCGATCATACCATTGGTCAAAAAAAGCATTCGGAATTCCTTTAACTATACAATCGAATAGTTTATTATTTATAGTTTATTTGTCGAGCTTTTAAGATACCAGAGTCTATCAATTATTTTATATTAAAACATATGATATTTTATCACAATGGTATTAGAGTACAGTTTTGCCAATATATTTTTAGATTAATTTATTAATTAAAAATATTTATTAACGTTTAAATTTAAATATTTAGCATTTTGTATTGTGCATTCCGAATGTCTTTTGTGTTGAATTTTCCTTCTCACGAAGAAAAAAATTTTATAGTATTTATAAAATGTACTAATTAAAAATAAATCAATCAAAAACTTTAAAAATAATTTAAAAAGTGCATAGTGCAATTTATAAGATCTTGAATGTATTAAAAAACGGCCCTGAACATATCTGTCATTGCAGGAGATCTTTCTACAGGTCACAAGGCTGACAAAAAGAAACGTTCCGGCCTTTCTCCGATTGCTCGGAATGCAAAGCGTTCTGCTTTTCATATTGTGTTCGCACCTTCTGATTTCACATAGCATTAAACACTTAACAGCGTAATTAATTTCTCTTAGGAATTATTTAACAATTACATTTATTTTACAAATTCATTGGTAGCCGAACTGGAATGTCACATGGACATTATGTAATAAAATTACATAATGATTTTTACATGTAATGTTATTTTTCTACAAGTTTCTAGAATTAATGCACAATAAATCTATTTGATAGATAGTATCGCGTTTATTTTACTCATGAGATAATAATATTTCTACAAATCTGGCGAGAAATTACAAATCGTCTACATAAAACAAGATCTGATTTTGACTCGCAAATCACGTACGATTTCTCGCATAGGATTGTTTCCTGCATGCCAAAACATTTTCGGTAATCTTTTTGCAATAAAATATCCCTACTCAACCAGGTTGACGAGTAGGAATATTTTATTGTCAAACTTAGAAACGAATTGTAAGATCGATAACTCTTACTTTCGTTTTAAAAATTAACATTATCGAGAAACTTCTTTCTACGCATAAATTCATATTTTTTGTTATAGGAATTTATATTCGTATATCTCTGTATATATAAATGCGTATATAAATAATTTTAGAATGTTTAAATATAAGATTTATGTATTTTTTAATATAATGCAAAATTAGATTAATATCGAAATGCATATTACTACATATAATTTGAAAAATGACTTTGTGAAAACAAATAAATAATAAATAATCGATGTGAAATTCTACTAAATTAATTTTGCGGTTTTAGTGACAACTTACCCTTCCCGTTTGAATTATGCTATGCAAGAACTCCGTAAAGACATCACATTTGCTTGGATGGGAGCCAATGGTGGCCAAAAGTAAGCAGATTATTTCGATTCTCATGATTTTAGCGTTTCAAAAATTGGCTATCAGAGGAAGCTTCTTTTTAATTTTCTTCAACCTTTTCTGTATTCCGAGTGATTATCATTCCATGTTGGAAGATCTTGTTCGGCCTTTGACTTGGTCAAACGAGACTTCCGCTCGGTTCTCTGCCTCCAATTCTACAACGCGAGCATCTCTGATGGAGCTTCCGCGTCTCCAACTGAAGAGAACTGCAAACTTTGACGTACACATATAAGCCTTATTTGCGCATGCATACAGCGAGAGCGTATCATATCGATAAAGCCGAGACTAGATTCTCGTTTATTTAACGGTAATCATTCGTCGCGACATAGAGAGTTCGCATAATTTTCCGAATGATAGATAATTTCCTGACTTCTTCACTAATCTTCACTAACAGAAAACTTACAAAACAAAATTTTGAAATAAAAAGATATTAAACTTTAAGATAAAAGACAGTTACTTTGTTAATTTTATTATAAATCCTAGAAAACATTTGAGTTTTTTGTTTGTATATATTTATTTATATCGGCAGCAAAATTGGTTCGGAATAGATAAAAATTATGTGCGCAATTATTTTTCGTGAATTTTAAAACACACGATTTGTGTTTAAAAACAAAAATAAAATAAAAATTAAAATTAAAAATAAAAAACAATTTTTTTTACAACGATATTGTACTAATCGTGATTCTTATTCTTCTTAGCCTCGTTAACTTCAATGAGTTCTCTACGATTCGGAGAAAGTGAGTGTCTTCCTGGCTCAAATCAGGTTTGGCCCTACAGAAATTTCCCGTTCAATTAAAGACACATTAAACTCGCATATCTTTTTAAATTACAACACACTTTTTATGATTGCGTCATTAATCACATAATAACATATCGATAATGATTGTTTTTTAATAAAAAAAAAAGAGAAAAGACCACTTGCGATCGTTCAATTTTTCAAGAATATACAAATAGGAATGAATGACGAGCAACGTTTCCGCAAATAATGTTTTGCAAAGATGTAAAAACGAAACGAAAGAATTGACAAAGGCTTTGAAAACGTCGCTTCCCGCCGAATCCCCTTTAAGAGACATCACACAGGCACACTTTCGCTAGTGTCTAAGTTCGCGTCCCAGCCCCGTGGGCATTTTCATAAATCATTCTTCACAGCTTTAGAAAATGCAATTTGTCGTTTGTTACACGAAAAAGAGTAGGAACGTCGCGACGTCGTCAGAATATTGGGTTATATATGCATACACAAGTATATGAATATATATGGGAAACTGACAGCGCGAAAAAGACACGTGTATATAAACATTACGACAAGTTCCTTTCGCAAATTTCACGTAATAAAAAACTTTACTAATTTAATAATGTTATTTGAATATTTTTTTAATAAATATATTTACATAATGTCAACTTATAAATACTATATAGCTATATAATGTAATTTATATATAAATAGATATAATATAAATGTATACCTTACTTTCCGATGATTTCTTATCCCGCATCGTTACAATCAAGAGATCAGTCAAACGCCATATAACTTTTATTATTGGAAACTTGAAAAGAATCTTTCACTTTAATTATATTTTTGTATATAATTATCACTGTATATAATTCTACGTCTAAAATTAATCCTTCCAGGGCATGGAACTTTTAATTCAATAATTGGCATTCCTCTCTTTAAGAAACTATCTTCTTTTCTTCGCACATGAGACAAACTGTTACATAATTATGTAAACGCCAAATTAGCGTATTAAATTAATTCTTAACGAGTTATACTAATTTTGAAATGGATTCGCGGATGTCGATTGTAGAAAGAGATCGATTCTCTTTGCTTGTACTACCGGATAACACCACTAAACATGAATGAAGCGTGTCGAAGAAAGACGGGCTCCTATGCCCATCGATGTGATCCCCACTTTTGCTATGGACATATTCATGGTTCCCCTGCATTCTTTCGTATTCCTATGCGGTAGATAAAGTAAGCGTGAGCAAGAGTGAGTAAGAGATTACAGCTAATGTTGCGATAGACCTTTGCTTCTTAAACCCGTTTACAGTTTTATGTCACACACATATATAAAAAGAGAAATTTGTTTAAATCTTTATTTGAAAAACCTCTTGCAAAACTATTTCTTAGAAATTATATTAAGTCACGCATCACGCGTGTCTTGTTGTTCGCAATATAATGCTAAATTCTTATCTAACAATATATAAGCATAATTAAATCAAATGTATTACATTTAATTACTATAATATATTAAATCTACTCTAGAAAATGGCACACACAACACACACAGAGATAATAATATTACATTTGGCAGTTTCATATTGTTTAATCCTTTACAGTTTTACGGAATAATTGACATAATTTTGCACAAAATCATTTTCCATTCATATTTCATTTTTGTTCTGTAAAAAATTAACAAACATTATTAATAATTAGCTATGTTTAAAAAATTATGGCACTACATTTAAAGATCGCGGCATCGCAATTATATGTGACTGATGACCTAATAATGCTATTGATACTTTCTCTTTGTTAAGTGCCAATATTTCTCGTTTGAACAGCAACGAGAGTGTTGTAAATAACATTTTGTTACATTGAATTTAATATTGTAGCTAGATAGGGTCTCTCTGGCGTTGGACAATGAAAATTGTCGAAAGGTTTGTGCCATTTTGTCATTTTAGTACCTACTGGTTCCAATAGATTATTCCATAAACTGGATGCATCTGCAAAAATAAATAATATTTTGTAAATTGTTTTTTAAATAATATATAAATGTATTTTTTTACACTTTTAAAATTAAATTAGTTCCATCTAAGACGTACTTGAAAATTTTTACGTTTCACGCTACTTTTTGTACTAATTAAAGATCTATGTCAACAGAAATGTTAATGTCACGTAATAATTTGGTAAATTAAATTCTGACAAACTGGTCAAACCAGTCAAACTAGATAACATTCGCAATTCTCACCGTTATCACACTTTCTCACATTATTACACCATTATGAGAATTAAAACAGTAAATCGAAAAAAAAAACGCATTTTGTATAAAAAAAATTTATCTTAAATATAAAAAATTAGTTCTTTCTAATTACGATACAGTCCCAATTATGGATCATTTAAGGTTAAAATAATGTTTATTTATTTATCTATCAAACATTTAAAAAATTAGTAACAAGCAGCAAAATATAATTAAAACAAAATATAATTTTAAAATATAATTTTAAATTAATAATTTTAAAAAATTATTAATTTTTAATAAATTTATAATAACACACAATAAAAAATATTGAAAAATATTTATGCATATTCCAATTATAAATCAATATATTTTTTATTTTTCTTTTTTAATTAATGTTAAAATTTTTTCATTTTAATGATATTTAAATTCACATTATTTCAACTTATATAATATAATAGTATATTCTCTTACAATCTATTAAGAGTTTTATAATTTCAAGAAATATTAAAAAAAATAACATTTTTTTTTATTAGTAACATTTGAAAAAATAATTTATATTATACTATAATAATTTTAATAATAAAACAACTAAAGAATATAAAAAGTTTCTAATTTTATTAATATATGTATCTCTCTAATGTTATTTCTCTAACGTTATTTTCGTAAGTTTGACTCGGAATCAGGATTCGAACTCTACAATTGGGACCGTTATTTTATAAGTAGTCTTAGGGAATATTTAGGGTGCGTTCCTTTATTCACTCCGAGTGCTCATACTATGACGTAATGAAAGTGTACTGTGACTATCATTCCATTTTAGTTTCGTGCGCTTTCTAACTGCTTCAAGATTGTAAAACAGAACGCAATTGCAGTATGTTTTCAAGCTCCAACTGAAAATGGCTAGCTATATGTAATATTAAAAAAAATATAATTTTATTATATATATTAAATATAATATATATATATATATATATAATAATTAATAATAATAATAAAATAAATAATAAATAAATAAAAAATTAATAATAATATTAATGTTAATAATAACAATAATAAAAAATAATTAATAATAATAAATAATTTCATAATATTATATAATATCATAATAATTTCATTATATTATATTATTTCATATTATACGCTTTATTTTCTTCAGCATCAATCAAGGTTATTTCAGTCTCTATGGAAACAGCCATCTTTGTGCTCTAACTGCTTTACCTCACTAGTTGCAATAGCCGCAAGAGGAAGTACGTCAAAATCAATGACGTCATAGAATTCAAGGCAGTACTTTCGGAGTGCACTACTCTTTATATCGGAATGCTATTCGTAGTACTGACAGTACTCGGAGTGAATAAAGGAACGCACCCTTAATCAACTTACAATAAGCATTGCTCTTTTGAGTAATGTGAAAACAATCAGTGCTTAAATATGTCATGTCGGTATATCCATCTGAAGCAAGTGGAATCTGCGCTTCTGTCAGAACAGGTTGGGCTACAACTGTGAAA